GGTTTTTAGCCTTATTTTTCCGGACTACGAAATTAATGAGCGGTTTACTGGTTTACCATCACTAGATATTGGTACTTATAGTAACTTATGGACCCAAAAGTTACTTTTAAGTACTATCATATCAGTAGGCTGTATCCTTCATTATAGTTACAAAAATACTTTTCCTTTAATTCGCAATTCGCTGAAACATTCAAGTACATAATATTCTCAAAGAGAATAGGGGTGGTAGGAGAAGAAAATATCAAAGTGTTCAGTGAGGATCCACAAGGTCTTCCCTGAGTACTCTTTATTTTCTTCTCCGAGGCTATGGGTCCCTACCCTTGCACCAGAGGTGGTACCCCTTTTTAGGTAAATATTCTCATGTCAACTTAAAATGGTAGCATCATCTATCTTCTCTCTCTCTCTCTCTCTCTCTCTCTCTCTCTCTCTCTCTCTCTCTCTTCTCTCTCTCTCTCTCCCTCCATGGTTTCCACACCTACCATTGCTATATACAGTCTCTCCCCCGTTCATAAATATATCCAGTATACTTACTCCCTATCACAATAGGACCGCTGCCGCTGCCACACGCTCCTGAAGACTAGATCACTGAGACAGGAGCGAGGAGAGAGAGAGAGGGAGAGAGAGAGGAGAGAGGAATGAGGAGAGTGAGAGAGAGAGAGAGAGAGAGGGAGCTGGAGGAGACTGAGTGCGGAGAGAGGAGGAGGAGAAGATGATGAGGAGAGGAGGTGAGAGAGGAGAGAGGGAGAGGGATGACGAGAGAGGAGGGGGGGGAGGAGGAAAGTGAAGGAGAGGGGGGGGGGGGGAGGGAGAGGGAGGGGGAAAGGAGGGGGGGAGGGGGAGGAATTGCCAAAAAAAAAATAATCAATGTAAAATGAACAATAAACATTACAAAAGTTCAAATTTGAACATTGTTCATCCTTAGGTATGTCAAAATCCCTTTCCCTCTCTCTCCACTCCATTCCTCTATTTCCACTCTCTAGCAGGGAATTTTGAGGACTTTGTAGAAGCCAATTCCTGCTTGAATTCCCTTTATCCTATCATCGGCTGGTGATCCCTTGCATTCAGCGCAGATCAGACAATACCTTCTCTCTTCTTTACTACCTTACAACCTTCTCCTATTCCTTTCTCACTTTCTCATTTCTCTCTCTCTTACTCATTTTCTTGCTCTTCTTCTCTCATCCTCCCTTTCTTGTTTCTCTCATGTTCTCTCTTTCTCTCTCTCTCTCTCTCTCTCTCTCTCTCTCTCTCTCTCTCTCTCTCTCTCTCTCTCTCTCTCTCTCTCTCTCTCTCTCTCTCTCTCTCTCTCTTCCCTGCGCTGTTACTCACTCTACTCATGCAGTTAATCTACTAGTGCAGTTAATCTCAGCATGTAACTAAGTCTGGGAGCTATAGTTATTCTACTGTCTGTCTTGTCCCATGTAATCCTCTTCCTTCTGTCCTATCCACCAACTTGTCTTCCTTTTCCGCTATCTACATTCACCTGTTTTTGTCCCTTACGTTCCCTCCTTCCTCTGTCTTCCCACATGTCTCCTGTGCCGGGTGAGGACGACGGGCTCACCATAGCCCGTGCTGCTTGGAACTATTTGTTACGTGTAGCTGTTTCTAAAGCAACAACACTCTCTCTTCCTCTCCCTCCCTCGCTTTCATTCAGGCTTTCTTTCCTTCCAGTTTCATCCCTTTCGCTTCTCGCTTTCCTTTCACTTTCACTGTTCTTGTCTGACCGAAACTTGTGTCTTCAGTGTGTGCCTGTGTCTTGAGTGTGTACCTGTGTCTTCAGTGTGTGCCTGTGTCTTGAGTGTGTACCTGTGTCTTGAGTGTGTGCCTGTGTCTTCAGTGTGTGCCTGTGTCTTCAGTGTGTGCCTGTGTCTTGAGTGTGTGCCTGTGTCTTCAGTGTGTGCCTGTGTCTTCAGTGTGTGCCTGTGTCTTGAGTGTGTACCTGTGTCTTCAGTGTGTGCCTGTGTCTTGAGTGTGTACCTGTGTCTTCAGTGTGTGCCTGTGTCTATCTGTATGTATCCCTCTGCTTCATACACTAAAAATGTTGTATTCATATCTCCCTTTACCCACCTGTTCATTCCTCTATGTATCAGTCCAGGATAGCGAGGAATTTTTTCGTTGGATGCAACAGTAGATAACAAATTGTACAATGGAACCGATCGCGGGAAAAACTGGATTCACACCCAGTCCGAAATTGCATTGGTCCGCCCGTGAAAACATCCCATTTTTCTCTGATGGAACCCTCCTCACGCCCCGTTCCGGTGATTTAAGCGAGCTCCTGCGACCTTCGTGAGGGGGAGAATGGTATTTTACCAGATTTGTATGTGTAACTAACCTATTTATGATTACGTATTTGGGGGTTCATTATGTTCCATATTCGTTTAGTTAATTTAGGTGGACGTTTTCTATGCTTTTGGTATGTACCGACTTTTGTAATGAGATGCAGTCGTTCTTAATACGGTCTGAGGATAGACACGTACTTTTATCTCTTTTTTTTTACTGTGTGTGTGTGTGTGTGTGTGTGTGTGTGTGTGTGTGTGTGTGTGTGTGTGTGTGTGTGTGTGTGTGTGTGTGTGTACTCACCTCACCTATTTGTGCTTGCGGGGGTTGAGCTTTGACCCTTTGGTCCCGCCTCTCAACCGTCAATCAACTGGTATACAGATTCCTGAGATTCCTGTGTGTGTGTGTGTGTGTGTGAGTGTGTCTTTTGAAACTGCTTATAGATACCAATTTTAGATATAATAATATACATCTGAATTCACGTAAGATGGATTTACCATAGCATCTACCCAGGACAGTGAGTGATCTTTCCCAAGATCAACAAGCCATGGTCCCCAAGGAAGGTGATCCCTAGTGGGGAATGGAGATCATGAAGAACAGGAAGGATGGAGTGTGATATCCCCAAGGAAGGTGACCCCAAGTTGGGGGATGGATAGCTGGGAAAACACCGTAAGGGTGGAGTGTGAACTGTCAGACGAGGAAGAAACGCCCTTACCGAGCGCTTGTGATTTTCTCTCGTGACGATGTTAAAAAGAGGATGAAGGACGTCAAAGAGAATGGGGTATTGTTGGGGGGCGGTCTTCCAGCGGGGACTAAAGTGTAGGTGGGGGTGTTACTCTATGTGCTTAAAGGACCAGCAGCTTTTTGCCTCTGGGCCCCCTGCCTGCCTCTTAGCCACAATGGCACATAGCCCTTTTGGTATTTTATCATAGTGTCTCTGTGCAGTATGTTAGTCTCTCTCTCACTTTAGTTCCTGAATGATTTGGTTTGGTCATCTTCAGTATGTGCTTACTACTCACCGATCAGTACTTACCAATCAGTGTCCAAGAGGGAGTGAGATCTAGCTCTTTATGCTCCGCCAACGAGCCAGTAATGTACTTAGAGTCTATAAATGCTTATAGAGAGCGTCGTAGTGTGAGTGGCATGTGATTGTGTGTGTGTGGATTGCACAATCGTGAGCATTCCCCCGATGCTCACGATTGTGATTTGTTTTAGATTCAATTCCTTGGAACAAAAATAAAAAATAAAAAGCCAAATCCTCCCCCCTCCTCCTCCTCCAACTGTCTGTCATTAACTAATACTCTATTATTATTATTATTATTATTATTATTAGTATTATTATTATTATTATTATTATTATTATTATTATTATGACTATTATTTATTATAATAATTTGTATTAATATTATTATTTATAATTATGAATAACAGTATAAATATGGAAGGAAAATAAATGCTTAAGGTCTGACCATTAGACCACTGGCCCTGCATGCATTTACAGCCAACAGTTTGAGAATCATTTACAACCAACATTTTGAGAGTTTGATTGACTTTAAACCTAAAACATATAATGGGGAAGCTATAATGAAGATATGTGATATAATTAATGCTTTTATATACTATTATATATCAAGGGCCTAAAAGGTCGCATTTTTATGTATACTGATGAAGGTCAATTGTTATATAGGATGATGTTGAGTGATGTTCATATATTGGCTCTTGGTCACCCTCTCTCTCTCTCTCCCTTGTGGTGAACGACCCAGGCGTAGTGAATGGCGTGAGTTGGTGGGGCGCAGCTGCGGGCGTGGCTGGCAGCTTGGGCGTGGTGCTGGTGCTGGTTGTGGGCGTGTGGGCGGCCAGACGGTGGGCGGCCAGGAAGAACTCCGAGGAACGACAACAGATTCTGCTCTGGCCGGGAGTTGGGGCCCAACCTTGTAGCTTCCAGTAAGTCCCATGCACACACACTCGCTCTCTACACACCTCCAAATCACATATATATTTGTTTACCAATATGACAATTGTGCAAGATGCAAGCACTCAGGGAATGGAAGGCATCAGTACAAGACACAAGACTCACATACATGTAGTGTTGCATGGGATGAGAGAAGTCAAACCATGCAACACTACATGTATGTGAGTCAAAACACCCATTTCACTTATGGTAAAAGGAGAAATGCTTGGAGTGACTCTGTGTACATGCGGCTCAGGCTTGGGTACAAATATTACTGGGAATATGGGATAGATGTTCATGGTAATGACACGAAGTGTAAACTATGTGGTATGTTAAGGTCTCACACCCTTGCCCATTATATTCTTGATTGTCCGTTGATTAATGTATATAGAAACACTGAGATAAGGACTGTTCCTGAACAAATAGCCTGGATGTGTCACAACGGAAAGGTTGATGATATTCTTGAGAGATATAAGAATTTTGCACCAAGATTGTAATATTTTGTTGAATTATCTGCAGGTGTCTTGCAAATTGTCTATACAGTATACCTAGGTCATAAAAGTATTTGTGTGTACGTCTGATAACATACTACTTGTGAAGGAGGAAATGTATATTTTTACCTCTCAGAATGTTTGGTAATGTGTTTATTTGTGATGTGTGTCTATGTATATATTAACACGTTGTACTGAATGGGGTGAGAATAGCTTGAGCTACCTCATCCCTTTGTGTGTATTTTACCTCAATAAACTTATTTCAATTTCAATTTCAAGACACA